ACAGCAATGCCTGGGGATGTGTGGGATTGTGTTCCAACATGGCACTGGCTTTGACCTAAATGCTGATGTCAGCACGCTCACAGTAACAGTGCTAGCATGCAGATTTCAGCAGGCATTCACTATAGAGAATGTAAAGGTATGCTATGCCATTTTGGGAGGAGGCCCTGTATTTACCTGCATACATTCTTGTTTTGTTTGGCTATAAAGTAGCTTAAATCATTTAGATCTCACTTTACTGACTGTGGTAATTCAGAATGAATAACCTTAGCTGACCGTAGCTTACTATAGCTATGAGTTGCAGTTGTCTTGCACAAAAAATAGTCTACCTCAATCAGCCGCTCTCTTCCACCGCTTTTTCTCTTTAACCTCAAGACTAAAAATGATCAGATAGCAGAAGAGCAGGTTTCATCCTGTCTAGCTTTTTCACTCTCAACTTAACTGATTTTCCCTGCTGAAGGCAAAGAACAGACCACACATGAAGATGCTTCAAATAGTTTATCTCAGTCTCATGAAGGATGTTTTTTGGATGGGTAAGCTATTCCTTGACAGACTTATAGAAGCTTAAGTTGAATCCACAGTAGGCAGAAAAGAGAAGAAGAAAAGACTAGCAAGGAATGAGGTCATAGGCCAGGAGCATTACAGCATGATATGAAGTACTGGATAACACCGAGTGTCCAACACAAATGCTGAGATCATACCTGGCACATTTTTCAATAATGAGATTAAGAGAGGAGAAGAACCCATCTGCATCCTTCAGTTACTTGTAAATGATGGAAAGCAGGCTCCTTAGAGAGAAAGTGAAGAGACAGTGTTTGCTGTGACACGTGGCCATTGTAGAGACGTCACATTGAACCTGTGACATCCCCAAAGGTGATGAGGGAAACATTGCATTTAGTAGCAGAAACTGATGTCAGACCACCCTCAACAAACACATATTCATATGAGGGATCAAAAGAGTGTCATATTAGAAATGCTTTAATTAAAGCTACTGTGCCATTTTTTGTTCTCAGGTGTTACCATCCCACAGCAGAGACAAAAGAAGACAACAGAGACAGAAGTTTCAAAGGACAGCTGAGCTGGGATCAGGAGGCAAAAAGAAGTTTGGCATATGGAAACAAGAGAAATGAATCAAAGAACTATAAGGAAGTGGGGCAGTGTTATAAAAGTGAGATTCCAAGTAGATAAAGTTTTATGTGAGTCCAGAAGACGGAATGAAAAACTGTGGGAGGGTGGGCAGAGGTTTGCAGGTACTATTACCTGTAGTAAAGGTTTCACATAAAGGTCAAATGGTTGTTGTGATGCTGAGACCCCAGTTATGTTTTCATTTCAGCTCGTAGCCTCGGGGGACATTTAGATGATCAACTTGTTTTAGCACCTTACTCTTTATGGATGTATGAGAATTAAAGTTATCTTACCAATATAACATGCACTTAAAACAGACTGCCTAAGACTTTCTGCTTTCAAAAACAGTTTAAATCATGTCATCTTTATAGACTACAGTATATTCCTATTGCATGGCAAATCCAGAACCCAGTGCCACATGAATGTTGGCCGGATACTTTGACAGCAGCCACTGGTGGGAGAGGAGGCTACTCATAAGTGTGCTGGTCTTCCAAGACTATGTCAGCTGCTTGTGGACTTAAACTAGTGTCACCAAAAAGCTTTTTTTTTTTTTTTTTTAATCATATTCTGTAACAAGACAGCTGTGCAGAGTCATCATACCTCACCATAACAAGCTAAAATGATCATCTAAAGGAGCTGGTACAAGGAGAGCCTAGATGTGGCTTGACTGACCGGTGGAGGGGGATGTGATGGCACATAATTGAGTTCCCAGTTATAAAGTTTGGTTCATTTAGCTACATATTTCAGAGATATGCCTCATTTAGCATGCTAATAATCTGTCTCATTTGTAAGCACCCTCTTCCCACATTATAGCTTTATAGTAAAACTTTGGGAACAGTCCTCTACAAACTGTTTTGTTTGTCTGTCACCAGTTATTCTCACTGATACAGTAAACTTTTAAAGTACTGAATACAGGACTTTACATACAAATTTCATCCTAACTTTAAGGAAATTACCAGCACTGAGGTGGAGGAGCTCTGTCATTCCCATCTCTGTCTGGAGTATCTCATCCGTGATAGACAAAACAGATCCTCTACAAACGTGCATGCTCTCTCGCACACAACCAGCACACAAATGCAGAGTGGAGGCACCAACGATGGCAGTGACAGGCTGACAATTGGGCTCTGGGCCAGCAGTACTGTGGGAAATGCCCTTATTTGGACCAATCAAAGTGAGGCTGTGTGTTGATACTTATTCATATGATAATTGCTCTTGAGGAATCCCGTCAATGGCTTAGTTCACTGTTTACACCAGTTCCTTTAAAATACGAAACACACACACATACACAAAGCCTAACCCATCAAATGCCACCTTTAATGGTTATTATGTTTGAGGTGAGTTGATTACCATGCTGCCAGTGTGATAAACCGTTACTGCAAAATAAAAGCCAGCAACTCCTCCACAGCGGCTCAGTGAGTGTTTTTTTTAACTGGAGAGTAACAGTATTGGAGGTCTTTCTGTCCCTGTTTGCAGCTGTTTATCATCCAATACTGTAGTATCAAAATGTGCTGTAAAATGGACACCAACATGGAGGCTGAATACAAACGGTATAAATATGAAAATAGGGTGGAAATAATCATTTGGAAATGCTGATATGACTCTTTGTTTCATGTCACTTTTAGAAATGTACTTAAAATCTGTCCCACTGAATGTGTGAGAAGGTGGTTGACCACACTGCTGAATAGGATGTCCATAAACTAAAGGCACATTCTTTAACTATTGTTGTCATAATAATGTACACCCACTCAAAAGCCTTTTCAGGGAGGCAACTCTGGTATTCTCTAGTCTTCCTCAAACCAAAAGGATCTAAGAGGCAAAAAAGGCACAGAGGCGACGGAAACACTCGCTCAAGTAATGTTTTGGTTTAAACTCGGCCATTCAGGGCCGGCAAGACTTTTTGTCTCCATGGCGACAGACTCCTGCCCGGGAAAAAAGGGAACACTTCACGACCGGCCAAGTTTGCATCGCACCCTGTAATAAAGGCGAGGGATATGGTGAAACAGGCAAACACAGCTGCCTAGCTGGTGAACAGCATAGCATTAAAACACTGATAAATTGTGATTTGGGGGAGGAATTGGGTTATTATTAGACTGAACATTTACATACCCAGTCTATAGAATAAAGGGGATTATTAAAAAATATATGTGTGCAGTAGTGAGGTAGTATTGTCTTCCCAGTGCATCATAAACTCATTCACATAATCTTATTATAAATACCTAGTCAAACACAGCTGCCTGGCAGCCGAATATTATGGCTTTAGGACACTGATTTAACATGACTGAATGTTTTTTAATGGGAAGTGGGATTAGGTTTAGGAACAACAAGAGCTGTTTGCAATATGAATTGGAATATCGGCTAAAGCAGACATTTAGATGAGCTTACAAAGTGGATTATTTATAAGGAACCTTGCAAACAGATGAATTTAAACTTCCACAGCATCCTGTGGATTTAAAAAAACGATTTTCAATACAACACAACTGTTCTTTCGGGTTTTTCTTTAATCTTTTCATCCCATGTTTTTGCTGTTTGAATTTGAGCTGCAGGGATTTAGTGGGTTGTTCACAAACTTTGTCAAAATATGCTGGAACCCAGATAACATCCAGTGTAACACAACCAGAATGGGATGTATTCTTCCTTGTTAATTTGAGAGGAGCATGAATCAATTGATGTAGTTCATGCAGAAAATGGATGATGTCCATTAAATATTAAATCCAAATCTCATAAATGTTTGCCTTTGTTTGATGTGTTGAGAAGTGGCTGATCAAAAATCTCTCCATCAAAATGACTGGAATCATTACAGTCAGCATTAGTTGCATTAAAACCCAGACAGCACTCTACAGCTGCCTGTAAAAACATGAACCTGGAACCATACAGTCCATATCCTCTGCAGTTCAGTTAAGGGAATTTTTCACTTTGACAAAGAGAACAGTTTTTACATTCTACATCTTTGGAAGCAGATTTCAACAAAGACATTTTGCCTGTTGACAGTTACTGCAAATGAGAGTCAGAGCTGCCTGCATAGTTGTGAAGAACATGAATACACATGGCAGCTTAAAGTTTATTGTGTATTTGAGGCCTGTGAACTCATGTCATACATGTTCAGGATATGTTGGAAAATGTCAAACTCCTACTGGTTGTGTAATACCAGTAACAATACACTGTTAGCAATTTTAAACACCCTCACTGATGCAATTTAATTTTAAGGGCCACCGCTGCTACAAACCTAATTCAATTTCACTGTGACTTAGGTTCAGGAGACTTTAAGCCTATTAGAAAAAAATGCACATCGATTGGCAGGTTGAAGAAATTT